TGTGTGTGTGTGTGTGTGTGTGTGTGTGTGTGTGTGTGTGTGTGTGTGTGTGTGTGTGTGTGTGTCGGGGTACCCCAGATTCAGAATCACTTATTGATCACCTTTCAGGGGCCAACCCTATGAGCACTCCTAGTACAAGTCAGGTACTGCATGAATGTTTTTTGGGTGAATGAGTAAAGGTCCTTTGAGGTCAACTGTAGGAGTGGCCTGAAGCCTTCTAAGCTTGGGAACCCTTGTTCTTTTCCCCTCCAGAATCATAGCCTTTAGAGCAGGAGGAGGCCATTGATATGACCTAACTAGATGTCCTGATTTCACAATGGCTGAGGCACACAGCTGCTCTGGGCTCTCTGCTGCCCCAGCTGCCTACTGTGAATGTCCCAACCCCAGCCTCTCTCCCAGCTTCCTGGGGCTCCTGGGCTGTGATACCCAACCTTCCCTGACCGTCGTGCCACCTCGGTTCTGCAGCTCTTCATAGGGTTTGGCTTCCCCTACGAGGGCCCTGCCCCCCTGGAGGCCATCGCCAACGGCTGTGTCTTCCTGCAGTCCCGCTTCAGCCCGCCCCACAGCTCGCTCAACCATGAGTTCTTCCGTGGCAAACCCACCTCCAGAGAGGTGAGTGGGAAGGGCCTGGTCCCACGTCGGGAGGGTCCGAGATGGGACCCCTGCAGTTCCTGGAAGGGGGAGACTGAGACATGGGGTGAAGGGAGAGATGGGACAGATGGGTGGGGGGCTTCTGCTCTTCACGCAGCCCAGCTTGGCAGGCAGAGGGAGAAGCCTCCCGTCTCTGTGCCCTGGCTAGGTGTTCTCCCAGCATCCCTACGCAGAGAGCTTCATTGGCAAGCCCCACGTGTGGACCGTCGACTACAACAACTCAGAGGAGCTTGAAGCAGCCATCAAGACCATCGTGAGAACCCAGGTGAGGCTCGGATCCAGTCAGGACCACTAATATCCTAAACTTTGGGTCTTTGCTATAATTAGAAAAAGATGCTCCTCTTGGTGAATTCAAACTTGCAGGCCTGGGTTGGCAACTTGGATGCGTGTGTGTTTGTTGAGGGAGTGGGGGGAAAACCTGCCTCTGTGCTGGGAGCAACCTGCACAACCTTACAGGGCAGCCCTGGATCCAGAATCATTTATCGCATGTCTCTGGGGGCCGGGTCCTGTGAGCACTCCTAGCACAGGTTAAGTGCTGAGTAAATGTTTTCAGGATGAATGCGTGAAGGTTCTTTGAACTCTGCTGTCTCTGTGGTCTTTTAGCAGCACATCTCAGACTATAATGTGCATACAGATCACCTGGGGATCTTGTTAAAGCGCAGGTTTAGAGTCAGCAAGTTGGGTGGGGCTGAAGCCCTGCATTTCAAACCAGGTCTGGGTGGTGCCGCCTTTGCATAGCAAGTGGGTAGAGCGTTCTGCGTTTCCTCCAGCAAGTAAGTGTTGGTGGGTGTGGGCGGAGGGCAGGGAGGGGCTTGTGCAGCTCCTCTCCCCGGTGGGCACCTCTGTGGCTTCTGATGGCTCCCTGTGCGTGTGCGCTCTCGCGGTCCCTTCATTTTGAGAAGTGGGCAGACTGTGTGAGCACATGGGGGAGGGGCAGCCCTGCTCTCCGTGATCTCTCTGGACCCATTTCTTGCTGTAGCTCGGACACCAGGCTGAGCAAAAACCCCCACTCCTGTCAGGTCCCCTTCTCTGCCCATCACCAAGGTCACCGAGCGTGCCCTCCCTGGCAGGGGGCTGGGGGTGGTTGTGCTGCTCTGGGCGGACTTGTGGCAGAATCAGAGAGCATTAGGCTGCTGGGGCAGGGGCCACCACAAGGGAGAGCCCTGCCCAGGAGGACACACAGCTGTCTGGGGAGCTGGGGACACTGCTGGGCTTGGGGCAGAGGCCAGCGCGCATCGATGCCCCATACGGTCTTAAGGGCTTAATTTTGGGTCCAGAGCCCTGCCTAGTTGTCCTGACCGTGAGGCAGGGTTGCGTATTTTTTTAAATTTTCTTTTGGCCGTGCCATGCAACTTGCAGGATCTTAGTTTCCTGATCAGGGATTGAATCCAGGCCCTGGCAGTGAAAGTGCCAAGTCCTAACCACTGGACTGCCAGTTTTTTTTTTTTTTTTAATTTATTTGGTTGCACCAGGTCTTAGTTTTGGCAGGTGGGGTCCTTAGTTGTGGCTCGCCGACTCCTTAGTTGTGGCATGTGAACTCTTAGTTGTGGCATGCGAACTCTTAGTTGTGGCATGTGGGACCTAGTTCCCTGACCAGGGACTGAGCCTGGGCCCCCTGCACTGGGAGCTCAGTCTTAACCACTGTGCCACCAGGGAAGTCCCTGCGTTGTTTTTTTTTTTTAACACCCTCCTGCATCCCATGGATCAGTCCCTCCCATTCGGCACTCCCAGCCTTAGCCCACCCCCTCAGCAAATGACCCCAGAAAATCCATGCCCACCCTGTCCACTCCCTTCCTTTACCCACCCCACTCTCGTCCTTTCCTCCTGTCTGGGTGTGAGTGTTTCTCTAGTGAAAGCACCAAGGAAACTGCTGTGTCACAGCCTAGGTGCATCTCTGGTTGTGGCAGATGTGGCCAGGTTGACCCGCGAAGTGGCTGAACCCCTGGACCTCCACCGGTGGTGCAGGGAGAGCCCTCCGCCCCCTCTTAAGCCTCCGCTTAAACAAATCCTCCTCTGCTGGAAGCTCCTCTAGGTCCCGGACTGAGGTTGGGTTCTTCCCGGAGCTGACCCCAGGCAGGGATTTGAGCACAAGTAGTTCACCTGGGGGGTGATCCCAGGAAGGAAGGTCCTGGAGTGCCAGTGAGTCAGGGTGTGTCATCAAGAAGGTTACCCCTGCCTTCAGGCACCTGGTGCTCAGTGCCGGCGGGGACCTCCGAGAGGTGGGGTACTCGCATCCCGGATTGTCCTGAGAAATGAGGAAACCGGGGTGTTTTTCCCACAACTGAATCCACCGCTGGCTGAGGCTGAACCGGGGCGGGGCAGGTGTCAGCTCTCAACACTGGGCTGAGCAAGCTAGAGAAAGCCGCCCACCCCCCTACAGACGGTGGGGGGTGGGTTGGGCGCTGTGGGAAGCTGCCCTGCAGGGGACCCCCATCCTGCTCCCTCTCTTCACCCCTTGCAAAAGCAACCCTCTGGGGCTTCCACCCCAGGGGGGCAGGGGCGGGGTGGGAAGGGGACCAGGAAGGCTTTTGTCCACCCCCAGCCCTCAGGTCTGGCTCCACCTTCAAGATCCCTTGTGACTGAGTGAGCGAGATCCCAGCCCTGTGGAGAGCCGTGTTCCCAGCCGCAGACCTAAATGTTGTATGTTGGGGGGCGTCTGTGCGTGTGAGCATGCTCATCTATTCACGTGTTATTTCTGGCTGGACACACAAGAAATTGCTAACAGTGCCTGCCCTGGGGAAGGGGCTGGACATCTGGGGTCAGAGGAGAACTTGCTTTGCTTTGTTTTCTCTTGATTTTTTAAAACATGAACAGCTGTTTAATTGTTAGTTAATTAAAAATCAGGGCTTCCCTGGTGGTGCAGTGGTTGAGAGTCCACCTGCCAGTGCAGGGGATGCGGGTTCGTGCCCCGGTCCGGGAGGATCCCACGTGCCTAGGAGCGGCTGCGCCCGTGAGCCATGGCTGCTGGGCCTGCGCGTCCGTAGCCTGTGCTCCGCAGCGGGAGAGGCCACAACAGTGAGAGGCCCGAGTACCGCAAAAAAAACAAACAAACAGACAAAAAAAAATCAATAACAAAAGGGTCCAGGAACCAAGGTACTGCAAATCCGTCAGGCTGACTTGCAGCTGGACCCCAAACCAGCCTGTGGCCCCCCTGCCTTTAGCCATCCCACCCCAACCCTGACTCCTGGGCAGTTAACTCTCCACCCAAGAATTGCCTGGGAGGTGTTTGAAATGCAGATTCCTGGGCCCGTCACCAGCTTCTGATTTAAAAGGACCGGTGCAGCCTTGGAGTTTGTGGGTTTTTAAAATTTTTTTATTGAAATCTTGCTGGTTTGCTCCCGCCCCCTTGCCCCCTCATCATCACAGGCCAGCAATCCCGGCAGGACCAGCACCTGCCATTCTGTCCAGACGGATCACCGTGCACACCTGTAATTAGACCTAATGGGGGTAATTTCCAGGCAGGCTGGCTCCTCCGGTGGGAGATTCATGGCAGGTGGGACGTGGCTGCTGTGAATGGTCCCTTCCCTCGCACGGGTGGAAGGGGGCTTAGAATCACCACGTGACGGGCTTCAAACCACGCGGGGGATGACTCGGTGGCTGCCGCCAGGAGCAGGCAGGGTGATATTTGGAGGGGAAATCTCTTCTCTGGGGGGTTTATTTATAACCAGGACTTGAAGTCTTGGACCCGAGGCGACTGGGGATCCCCTGGGGCAGCAGCTGGCGGCCGGGGCCTCGGTGGCCATCAGCTGGGGTTGGGATTGGCTGTGTGGAGCTCAGGGCCGGAAAGGCTGTGCTGGTTGATGGGCTGTGAAGTGGTGGCTGGATGTGGACCTGGGGATTCTCTGGGATCCCGGCTCTGCCCCAGGATTAAGGACACCGACTCACAGGGCAGGTGAAGTCAGAACCGGGGCAAGGTTAGATGGGTGGGGCCTTGTCCCAAGAATCAGTCCTGGTGGCAGCTGCTGCTTCCCTGAGACCCTCCTCAGCTTGAAGTCGGGGATGTCCCCTGGGCCAGAGGGCCCAGGATGGGCCTCCAGCCCTTCGAGGTGGGGTCTACAGGAGGCAGGACCCAGCGCAGCCTGATTGGGTTCTGACACACTCATCTCTGATGCGGAGAAAGGACTTGGGCAGACCAGCAAGATTTCACTACCTGGGCTGAAACTGCCTGATTTCTGGAGCTGCTGGCAGGGAAACGGCATTATCAGGAGGCGGCTGGGCTGGGTATGGTGCCAACACACATGTTGGGGAGTGGGGGGTGGGGCCAAAGGCTAAAACAGACCTTCCTCTGAGTCTGAGATGGACCATCTCCCAGGTCACCGCGATCTCGCCTCCCGCCCACCTGGCCGACAGTTTCCTCCAAGGAGGCTGTGTGCTGGGCCACCGAGGGTTGCTGTAAACAGGGAGGGGGTGGCCAGGTAAGAAGAGTGGAGAGGAGGTGGGGGTACCCGCGCTGGGGAGGCGGCCTCATCACCTCTTCCGTTCCCCTTGCTCCTTGCGCCCCAGCTACCAAATCCATCTGGTCCCGTCGGCCCCAGCGTGCGCTGTTATATAACTCTGATATTTAGGCTGACGGTATGTGGCCTCCCGTTGGGGGCACCTAGTTCGTGTAGCTCCCGGGTGCCTGGTCTGGGCAGGAAGCTTTACAAATGTCATCTCATTTCATCAGGCTGGGAGATGCCCTGTGTTGCTTTACGTGAAACTTCCACATCTTGGGCAGAACACAGGCAGAGCTGGGGATGCTTTTTCATTCCATGACTAGCTCCCCAGTGACTGCTGTGTACCAGGCATTGTGCCAGGCACCAGGGATTCAATGGTGAGCAAGTTGTGGTCCCACAGACCATGGGGCTTATGACCTGAGGGAGACAAGGGATAAATCAGAAATGATGACACAGGCACTAATTCTTTACTGGGAGAGTCTGGGGTGTGTGCAAAGGAAAGTGGTCCTTTAACAGGAGGCGGGGTGGAGCTCTGGGTCTGCTTCCTGGAGGAGGTGACGTCTAAGAGGGGAGGGTGCATCCGGTGGTTGGCTGGGGAAGAGCAGGCATCACAGCCGAGGAGGGGATGGAATGCTGAGCTTTATGGAAAGAGAAGCTCAGTGGAAGTGGGAGGGGGTCAGGGAGGGATGAGCTGTCGTGAGCCCCCTGAGGGCCACTGAAGGGTGCCCCGGGGAGCGGGGCATCTGCGTGGATAGCGTGGTCGGCTCCCTGGGTGCAGGCCGTGAGAGCCCCCAGATCTCTGCTCCCAGGGCCGAGCAGCCAGGTCTGGGGAGGCCCAGGGCTTCTCCTGCCCCACGTGTCTGCCTCTCTCCCGCACAGGTGGACCCCTACCTGCCCTACGAGTACACGTGTGAGGGGATGCTGGAGCGGGTCCATGCCTACATCCAGCACCAGGTGGGTGGGTCCCCCACTCTCTGTCTCCAGGGCCCGAGCTGGCTCCAGTGTCCGAGGCCCCACCTCTGCCCAGGGTGCAGCGTGCTTTAACCTCCAGGTCCTTCTCTGGTCTGTTTCCTTCCCCACGGGGTTGGAGATGGGCGGGGCCAAGCAGTACTGCTCAGAGACCAGGCCTGGGGTGCCCCTGCCCTGGGCCCCCAGCTCGAGTCCCAACCCCCATATCACAGCACAGAAATGCAAAGATTCATTTTTATTACACAGTTGTTTAGAAGTTTGGTGAGTGAGTGGGGAGTAGGGAAGACCCACCCCCTGCAACCCCTACCCACAGGATGAGTTGGGAGTGAGGTATTCCATTTTCTGTCTTGACACCGCTTTCCTCTGGGCAGGACTTCTGTGCGGCCCCAGGCCCTGCCCCCCCAGGGGCCCGAGCCCCGGAGAGCCCCTTCATCCTGGCCCCCAACGCCACTCACCTCAAGTGGGCCCGCAACGCCAGCTTGGCCCCCGGGGCCTGGCCCCCAGCGCACTCCCTCCGGGCCTGGCTGGCCGCCGCTGGGAGGGCCTGCACGGACGCCTGCCTGGACCACGGGCTGATCTGCGAGCCTTCCTTCTTCCCCTTCCTCAACAGCCAGGACGCCTTCCGGACGTGAGCGAGCCCCGGCCCGACCCTGCCCAGCTGGCCTCACCTGTAGCCCCTTTGCTCCCGTGGCCGCCTTGCCCCCGGCCCTGCCAGCAGTGGGGGCATGCAGTGCTTTCCAGTGAGTCAGGAAGGATCCAGAAGGGACCTTCCGGGCAGGTCTCCACGGCACAGCTGCCCACTCTTGGCAAAGCCTCTGCCCCACACCACCGGGGAAGCGCCCTGCTCAGTCCCTGACCTCCTCATCCCTCCCTCAGCCCCTGCCCAGCCTGTCTGGGCACCTCCTAGGTCCAGGCCACAGAAGCTGCCCCAGGTTCCCCCTGATGGGTGGGCTGGGGGCCCCCACCCTCCTGCCCACTATCCTCTCTCACAGCAGGGGCCGGAAGGAGCTGCAGCCCAGCGTTTGTCCTGGCGCCTCCTAAAGACATCTCCCTGGGTCTGGAATGGGATGGGTCAGGGAGAGGGAGTGCGCAGTGCCAGGCTGGGGCAGTCCCCGCCCCACACGCTGAGTGACCGCCTCCGTTGGTGCCCACCCAGGCTGCAGGTGCCCTGTGATGGCACCGAGTCGGAGATGAACCACCTGTACCCGGCCTTTGCCCAGCTGGGCCAGGAGTGCTTCCTGCAGAAGGAGCCTCTGCTCTTCAGCTGCGCCGGCTCCAGCAGCAAGTACCGCCGGCTCTGCCCCTGCCGAGACTTCCGCAAGGGCCAGGTGGCCTTGTGCCAGGACTGTCTGTGAGGGTGCCCACCCAGCTGGCCCTCCCCGCCGCAGGAGAAAGCACCAGCAGATTCTGAGCTCCAGCGACCCGCCCTACCACCCCCCACCCCCCCCAACGCCCC